TACACTGGGTCTCCATGGCCACATGGGTCACTCCAGCCTCCTCCCGGTTTATTTGTAAACTTCCTTCCCAAATAGAAAACTGGTTCCCACAATCCATCACCCATTTCTTAATTGTTCCCTTCCTCCATGTGATTCCTTTAGTGTCACAGACTCCCCTGAGCTACTCGGGCCAGCACTCCCCCATCCCCTTCAATGACATTGTTTCATCTGTAATGCACTTAGGTTTCTTGTGACTCTCAAGTCTGACTCACTTGACCCCCCTAAATGAGTTTTTTTTTTAGTTTGCATACATTAAGTTTCACCTTTCCTGCTATGCACTTCACTGGTGTGGGTGAAATTCTAACATTTCCAGACTCTCTCGCCGGCTTTAGTGCCTTTGCATATCCTCAGGGGTGGAGAGAAGTTTATCTCCATGTCCATGGTAATTACCTGGGCAACTGAGGGCTTATCTGTATCTGAGAGGTTAAGGGGAGGCAGCTGGCTTCCTTACTTGCTGGCTTCTTCCAGAACAGAGGAGAAAGACAGCCCGGGACTGCAATTTGTAAGCAATAAACAGGTTTTAAACTTTATTTCTCCCCTTGACTGATTTCGGTTTTCAGAGGTATGTTGCCCTGGGATTTCCAGTCCCGGGACTTACATCTGGCGGTAGTGGGCAGGGTTCCTCTGAACCTGAAATCTGTCATAATGGGTGTGACCTTTGGGAGGGCCGCCCCTAGAAGTGATGGGGAGAAGTGGTGCTTGTACCGAGGGACATGTATCTACACTCATGTGGTCGTGGAGGCACCACCTCTGCTGCTGGCCGTGCCAACCCCGGCCTGTGGCCCGAGCCTAAGGCTACTGCCTCTGCCACTGCTGCTGCTCCTGCTGCCACCCGGAGCCTGGTCACAACTATGGAAAGGAGCAGAGGTCCAGGTCACCTTGATAGAGGAGCAACTGGCTGCTGTGTACCACGCCTTGCTGGCTACAGAGCCCATCGCCAGAACGGCTCCCACCAAGGCAGTAACCACGTATCCCATCTCGGGGTGGGTGCGAGACTGGACCCAAAGGCCACGGACTGGTGTGACACAGACACCTACAGTATATCATGTGACTGGCCATTTGCCTTTGGCATCCCCAGGGAATGACGAAGCAGGCACACTGGCCTGGGTGCCCTGGCTAGAAGGAAAGCCTGCCTCTGATGTGGCCCAATGGCCACCCCAGCATTTGTGGCATGCGGGTCAAAAGACAATGTGGGCCGTCGGTGGGGCTTGCCATTGACCTCTGAAGAAGTCAGCCGAGCCCGGAAGGAGTGCCCTGCACGTTGTGCAGATCAGCAAACCACCAAGAGGGGCCTAGAATGTCTCTTTGCAGCCTATGGTCTGTCGCTGGTGATTGAGAGCGATCAAGGCACCCACTTTATTGGTCATGCATTGCAAGGATGGGTGCAGCAATTAGGAGTAAAATGGACATGGCCCTGGACATTTCAACACATGGACCAGCGATGGCTCGCTCTTGTGGCACCTTGGGGAAAAGGCCTGGAAGCTGGCCTCCTGTGTATTCCTGGAGTAACAGAAAAGTGGCCTCCCACAATCACGGTTACTCGCTTCTACAGTCCCTGTGGCCTGGATGCGCCCCCTGCTGCAGCTGCCGCACGATGACTGCTCTGAACCCTGGGCTCCTGCCTGCCTATGGAATGGATGGGCTATGGACTTAATCTGTGTGGGACCTTGAACCTACCTGAATCCTCCAGCTTGAGGATTGTCATATTTTATTGCTGTTGCTATTGTTTTGTCATTAGTCTGGTCACAATGCTCCAGTTTTCTCACCCAGGGACCATTGTGGAAGAAAGGGAACGGGTAGATTGTAAGGCGAGATTTCTGGAGGGGTGACCTGTCGGTAAAATTGTAACATTTCCAGAATATCTCACCTGGCTTTGGTATATTTGCATATCCTCAGGAGTGGAGAGAAGTTCATCTCCATGTCAATGGGTAATTACCTGGGCAACAGAGGGCTTATCCGTACTTGAGAGGAGGTTAAGGGGAGGGCTGGCTTTCCTGCTGGCTTCTTCCAGAGCAGAGGAGAAAGATGGCCCGGGACTGCAGTTTGTGAGCAATAAATGGGTTTTAAACTTTATTTCTCCCTTTGACTGATTTCGGTTTTTAGAGGTATTTTGCCCTGGAATTTCCTTTTCCCGGACTTACAACTGGATTTTGATAAACACATCGGGTCATATATCCACCATTACATACAGATTAGTTTAATCAGTCTAAAAAAATCTCCTGAGCCCCACCTACTCACCCCCTCCCCACTACCACATCATAGTTTTAAGCCACTAAATTTTAAGGTGGTTTGTTATGCAACAACGGTTACAAAAAATATCTGGATAATTTCCAAAGATATTGAAATTCCAAAAGATACAAATTACAGAAATAGTGATCACTATAAAAAAACACTTGATCTTTGTCCAAATTATGTCTAATTTTGGATGGTAATATTCATGTGATATATATACATTGTGTTATATGTGTTGGGAAGGAAAGGACTTGGCTTGGTGCCGCAGGGAAGTCAGATACAGTGAGACAAGAGACCGAAGTCAAGAAAGCAAAGTAAGTTTTAATGCCCTCTGCACAGAGCAGCAGAGTGGGCTGCCCAAGGTGAGACAGGCAGGCGGGTGCTCATTCTGAGGCTGCTTTTATGTGGTTTTGGCAGGACAGAGAGGTCCCTGATTGACAGCTGTCAGTTCCCTAGGCTTGTTCTGATTAGTGAAATGGGGACAGGGGCTGTGCTGTGCCTGTGCCTCTGATGTTTCTTATCCGGGGGGACCCTGGATATTTCCTGAGTTACTCTTGGACCCTGTGGCTTCATCTGATCAACTCTTTGAGTCATTTCTGGCTTTCTGGTTCTATTTGGTCAACTCCCTGAGTCATCTTTGGGGGGCCTCTCTCCTTTCCATCCCGCTCATTTCTGTCTTTCTGCCTAACATATGGGTGGTTGAATGTAGGTAAACCAAAGCTGTCATCTAACAGTATAAATGTGTACATGTAACACATTCACAGAAAGGTGTGCTGATATTGTTAGACTAAGGTGTGTATGTAGAAAAGAGAAAATAACATTTGTCTTCCACATGTGATCACACTGCTGACCAGAAGGTGCTCCGGCCCTGCCCAGACCCAGCCTCCGGCAGCCTCCCCGGGAACCTCGTGCGAGTGCTCCCAGAAGTCCTACGCCGAACCCATGCTAGAAACTGCAGCCCTGATCCAAACGGTAGCCGAGGTCGCCATGTATGCCTCAAGAGGGTCTCACACCAGCCCCCTGACAACTGCTGCCGCCTTTCCAGAATTCAGGCCTCAGATCCAGAATGAAAAACCCCAGACCAGTCGTCGGCCGCCCCTGTCTCTGGGATTCCCACAGACAGCTGCTGGCGACACAGGCCTCCTGCCTGGTACAACAGCAAAGTAACTGGGTGTATTTATTAGTACCGTGTGTTAACCACCTCATTCCAGTCTGAAGGGTCCCTGTTTATGAAGCCCACAGAGGGAAAGGCAAATAAGATACCAAATAAGATAGGAACCGAGGCAGTGCTGTTCCTGTGGCTATGTCTGCACGACCTTGCTCTTTTGTCAGGTAAAAGACACCATGTTCATGTGCAAGGCTGGCACAGTCAACGAACTCGTTTCGTCTCTGCGGTTGAACGCTCTCGCCAGCCAGTGACCGTCAGAAAGCAGTGCAGGGCGCCGGAAGCCCCTGGAGGTGTTCAGCGCCCTCGCAGCCCACAGCACAACCTGGCCCTGAGAGCAGCCACTGAGCAAAGCCTTGGAGGTGTGTCACACCTTAGAAGACGCTCTGCTCTCCCACCTCCCTGTGTTCTGTGCAGCCTGCTTGGCCACGGCGGCCTCTGCTTTCCTGCCACAGGCTGCAAGTCAGACAGACTCTTCTGAAGGAAGTGCCGGGGCCTCTGCGTGAGGGGCTGCCCAGCTGCTCTTGGCTGTGACATTGTGAGCAACAGCCCCCTGCCACCTGCCACACTGTCCACAGGGACCGCGTCAGGGCCGGGGCCCTTTGCACTGGAAGCAGATGTCCTGAGAACACACCCAGTGTACCCCAAGATCACACAGTGAGGTGGGGAGCTGGGCGGCTCTGAGGAGACCGAGTGGGCATGTAACAGAGCTTGGTTTCCTTAGTGTAGCAAGATTCCTTACGTTCTGGAAACGGCCTCTCCTGTCAACTGGCCTACAATTCAGAAGGAAATACAAGGCAATGAATCTTCCATGACACAAACTCCTGTGGGGAGTTGTGAAAGGTGTTCCCTGGGATTGTTCAGAAAGCCAGTCAGGGCCCAGTGTCAGTGGGGACCTGTTGCACCGGGGCCTTCACCGTTTCATGCGTAGCAGGCCAGTCTGGTCAGAAGACAGAAACCAGTGTGATGGGGGGTCAGTACTTCCCCGGACACGGGAGAGGCCCCTTCTGCCCCTCAGTCACGTGGCCAGAGAAAGGTGGCTCGCTGGATGCAGGTGGGGGGGCTGGGCCTGCAGGAGAACCTTGCGCCATGGCCTCCCACCCTGCGCCTCCACCCGAGAGCTCGCACTCACCGGAAAGCAGAGATGCTCAGAGGAACCCTGAGCCCACCGTGGGGGTGGGTGCACTCAGAGGTGCAGCTCGGCAGCTGGCGCAGCCCAGGGTCAAGATGAACCTGTCTCTCCCCTGTCCGAGTATATGACTCACGAGCCAAACATGAGCCGTTACCAAGCTGGGGAGGCCCCGCTTGAGGGCAGGTCTCTCCTGACGACACCCGACACCCAGGTCCCCCGGCCAGAAGAAGGCCTGTCCCTCCCGGGCTCACCAGGGAGGCAGTGGACCTGGGACCACAGGTGCAGGTCACCCCCACTGTGAGGCGGGAGTCACTGCCGGTGAGATCTCACCGGAGTAAATCATGGCTTTTGTGCTGGAGTCCAGCTCCAGCGCGTCCAGGGGTCCCCGAAGGAGGAACGGCGTCGGCGAGTGAGGGCACGGACACCCGCAGAGATGCTGAGCTGGTCTGGCCTGTTTATTGACAGAAACTTCAAGCAATATATATGGTCACATGAAATCATCATTAAGCATGTGTCAGTAGGTGATTCGTGGCACAATCTGCCTCCCAGAATGTTCCCCTGCTTTCCCAGCCATGGAAGGCCATCACGGTCCTCTCCTCAAGATTTCTCTGTTGCTCTGATCTCAGGTTAAATTTCTACAAGGCACCACCACGTCTTCTGGAAGTGTCTTAACACTTGCCCAGCCGGACTCCCACCCAGGCTCACCGCAGGGCGTGTTTTCCGTAGTTCCCGGAACCGTTCACAGAAGGAGAAGCGCGCCTGTTGATCTCCACTGTACCCATGCGCTGTGATTTCTATAGGAATGATTCACAAGGGGACCCTGCCACGGTCTTTGGCCTCTCCAAACAAGGCTCTCATCTGTTCTTGTTTCTCTTGGGGGTCGAGTTGCCTGGGAGCTGTGCCCTGAAGTCCCCTGAACCTTCTTCTATTTCTCAGCCCAGGGATGATAACCCCGCTGGCCTGCGGGGAATGTGCAGGGTCACAGGCTGAGTGTCACGACTGCTTTCAGATTCCTAACAGTCTTTACTCTGGGGGCTTTTTCTGATTCAGGAGGGCTACTCGGACTGGGGGGATGGTCAGATTAAGCGACAGAAGAGATATCAGTAGCCCCCCCTCTGGAGGCCCGCTGTGCGCGGCTGTCCACCGGCCTCCTGGTCAGCTCCCGGCATTTTTTGACTCCTGACCTCAGAGTTGACGGCTTGATAAGGAGAGATTAACACAGGCAAACCCTGGATCCTAGGACTGTTCTCATCCAGGAGCAGTGAGTAGGTTTCTGTGTTACCCCCTGCCCCTCCAGGCAGAGGAGGGTACCCGCTACTGATCCCTGGCGGAGACCGCTGACCCTGATGGCAGAGACTCCGGGCTTTGTTCCTCCTTCACATTTCCTCAGGATGGACGGCTTGGCTGGCCCATGAAAGTTCCAAATGCTCTTGTCTGTGTTCTCAGGCCACGGCGCCCCAGTGCACTGACACAGGTCACCCGACCTGGCTCCCCTCCAGAAGGCGGCGAGAGCCCTCCTGCAGGGCACACCCAGGTCTCCAGACGTGGGACCTGCACAGTTTCCTGCCTCGCAGCCCGAGACAAGTCGTCAGGACTCCAGGGGGAGCACCAAGACAAACAGATGCGAGTGGCCGCTTCCAGGAAAACTGGTCAGAACCAGTGGGAACACAGGCTGAGGGGGACAAAGCATGTGCCTGTGTCTGTGACCCAGCTCTGCTCTGTGGCCTCACCTCGATGGCGAGGGGTCCGAGGAAACCTCAGTGAGCCCTGTGGCCCAGCAATTTGCCCACATATGCCCTGCTGCCAGCAGCCAATCCCAAAGTGAGGAACCCTTTTCCTTGTGGAATGTGTTCTCTTTGCCTTTAAGTCCTGCCCTTGCTTGTTTCTGGGGGACAGTGGCCATTGGCTCCCACCGCTGTGTGATGGTCATGGCGGGGCCTGTTCATCGCCACACAGCATCTGTGGGTCGGGGGTCTGGATATGGGTCTGCCCAGTCCCCGGCCGGGGGCCTCCCTAGTGAAATCGGTGTCATCCGGGCCACGTCCTCACCCGAGGCCTGGGCCCTCGTCCACACTCACCCAGGCAGCTGGCAGAATCCAGGAGGCTATGCACCAGGGGGGACATCCCAGCACCTCTGCCAGGTGGGTACAAAGGACCATCCTTCCACACAGTCACTATGTGGCCCACAGTCCAGGGGGAGACACAGGGTGGACCCAGGGGAGCATCTCAGAGCTCCGCCCACAGCCTGACCCTGGAATGCCCATGCAAATCCCGGAAGCCCTGAACTAGCCATCTGGGCATTTCCTGCTTCACCAGACTTGCCACCCCTGCAGCCCCCAGGCCTGCGTCTCACAGGGGTTGAGGCCACAGCACAGCCCCGCAGACCTGGGAGGCCTGGCCGTCCACTTGTGCGTGCGGACCCCTCCAGGGCCCGTGGTAATACTGCAGAGGCGCCCCGCCCTGCCTTAATCTTCTGACACCACTTCCCTCAGCACTTGAAATTCTCATTCGTCACTGAGCAGGTGTGTCTCCTGCCTCCCTCTGACAGCAACAAGGGTTGGGAGTGTGGCTTCCAGATGGGTGCTGCACCCAGTGGCCAGCACACAGTAGGTGCTCGGCAGATGTTTGCCGAATGACGTGACCGTGGGTGTGAGCTCGTGTCTGTGTGTCTGGCTGTCTCTGAGTGCCTGTGGTTTTCCTTTCCAGTGAGTCTGGCGCCTGGAATGTCCCGAGTCCCTGACAGAGGAGCCAGCGTTGGGCTGGTTGGCTGGTCTGCTGGTTCAGCCATGCCTCCGAGGACTGGGGTTGGTTCAGGGCTCTGGTCAGCTAGGGGCTCAGCTGGGGCACAGGGTGGGACTCTGGCCATGTCGGTGGCCTTGTTTTCTCCTGGCCTGTTCTTTTCCCAGTGGAGGTGCCAGGCTGGGAGCTGAGCCACAGGCACCTGGGAAGGAGCAGAAGGGCTCAGCCTGGGCTGTGGAGGGGAAGGTGGCTGGTGGGCAGCCCAGGCAGACTGCTGGGCCTCTGCTCTTAGCTGTGGCCATTTCCGGCCAGGGACTCAGGTGGGGTCGTGGCAGTGGCTCCCTGCCGCCCATTTTGGCTCTGCTGGCCTCCAGCAGAGAGAACATGATAGAGCAGGGAAGAGGGATCCGCAGCCCTCCACTGCCGTGTCCGACTTTGTCCAGGGGCACAAGGGGGTCAGCTTTCCCCTAGGGGCTCCCCTGGAGACATCTGCATTTGGGCGGAGCTGAGAACTCAGCCTGCAGTGCTTGGGACCTGAGGCTGGGGGGTTTGCTGGAAGAGAGAGGGTGCCCCAGGTTCCTGGCCCGGGCAGGGAGCCGACCCGACCCCTCCTAGACAGGGGCCAGCCCTGGGCCATCTGGGCCTCCCCCAGCTCTGTTTGGACATCTTCCCTTCATGGAGAAGAGGCAGTTGGCAGACAGGGGCAGGAACAGCAGACAGATGGAGGGAGAGACACGGGTGGGCGGGGGTACAGAGGAGGGAGGAGGCTGGGAAGGAGGCCACCAGTGCTAATATAAACCAGCTAGAAAAACAGGAGGAGGCCAGGCCTCAGGCCAGCCAGGCGGGGCTTGTTTTTCCAGAATGAAAGGCCCGGGGAGGAGCTGGGGGCAGGGGAAGGGGGGACACAAATCTGGTTCCAGTTTTCAAAAGGGGTTCCACCCTCCAGGGCAGGGATCCTGCTGAGGGAATGAGTCCTAAACTGGGAGGGGGCCTGTGTCTGCCCAGCCAGTCCTTCCTGTTGTCACCCCTCATTCCCTCTTGCTGCAGCCACCTCTTCCCCTCACCCAGAGCCTAAGTCAGGCTGAGCTGGGGTCCTTGCTGTGTAAGCACTTGGGGACTGTGGCAGGGTACACGGGGGAGACCCCAGCCTGCCAGAGACTGGGGCCTGTGACCCTCCCTAATTCAGTCCACATGGGCAGTCTGAAAAATGCACTGTGGGTTTTTGTGGTGGTGGTTTTTTTTTTGAGGTTTGCTTAACTAGAAGGAGTGGGATTGGTACACAATGCATCTCTATGATTTTGCATTTGTTTATGTGACTCTGTTAGATTCCCAGAGTTTCAAATTTGTGCCTTCCTTAGTGGGGCAGGGGCGGGTCCCATACCCTACCTCCTTCCCCTCCCCGCTGGGCAGGTTGGGGATGCTCCTGGGAGCCTCTGAACCCCTGGTTTGATTTCAGGAATGCCTGGCTTTGCCCTTGATGGTGGACAGCTGGGGGGGGGGGGGCACCAGGCTGGAGGACAGGGAGCTGCTGGGCTGGCCCCCTTAACCCTCAGGGATCCCCCGCCCCTGTCTCGCCGGCTGACTCTGGGTAAATGTGACTGCTGACAGTGCCCACCATGCCCTCCCCAGAGCCGTCCCGGGTCCCCCAGGGCTAGTGCTGCTTATTCGCATTCACAGAGGAAGAGGCGCAGCACCAGAGAGGAGAGTGCCAGGGTCTTCCCACGGCTAAGGAGGAGCTGGCTGGCAGGCTGGGCTCCCTGGGGCCCCAACCCCCGTGCCTTTCTGCTGGCCACCATAGAGGGTACCTCCAGCTCCACAGCAGGCAGGGACAGGCCCTGCCCAGTGCTGTGACCAGTGTCCCCTGCAGAGGTGGGCAAGAGGGGGTGCTCACCCCAGAGCCTCAGGCCTGAGCAGCCCAAGGGCCCTGTGTGTCACGGATGCCCGCAAGGTATCTGGGGCCATGCCCGCACGCCTCCCTGACCCAGGGGGCTGGGTCCCTGCTGGACTCCCCTCACCCTCTGGGACAGAGTGGCTGCGGCCCTGGCCCTCCTCCTCCCCACCAGGCCAGCCAAGGATTGGGGGAGGCCAAGGGGCCGGGCAGGAGGCAGAGGGGGCGGTCTGCAGACTGCGGACCGGCCCAGGGCTCCGTGATGTCACGGCGGGTGCCGAGGAGGGGGAGGCGGCCGGGCTGTTTTTCTGGAGAGTTGGAGCCAGAGGAGGACAAAGCGAGGCCGGAGGCGGGCGCCATGGAGCTGGGGTCCCGAGCCCTGCTCTGCAAACTCCTGCTTCTGCAGAGTGAGTGTGGGGTCGCGTGGGGCCAGGAGGCGGAGCGGCAAGTGGGTCTGAGCGAGTCTGTTCCAGGCAAAGCTGCCTGTCTGGCGGGAGGTGCCTGCTGGGACTCGCCTGGGTCTGGAGACCTCAGAGGGAGCAGCTCACACTGATAAGGGACCCCCAGGGCCCAGGATGGTGTGAGGCCTAGAGTTAGATTCTTGGTGAGAACTTACTCTCAATTCACCAAAGCCAGAGGGCCAGGGAGCCTGAGGCAGTCGGTGCTTCCCCCTGGGTCGCCCCCCTAGCCCCCATCTTCCCTGGCAAGCCCCTCTCAGGCCTGCATTTCTCCCAAGCGTCAGGAGGAGACTGGGGGTGGGGGGAAGGTGTGAGGCTCCAGGGCCTGATCCAGCCCCGCTGGCCTGCTGACCCAGCACATTCTCCCCCAGCTGTGGGCGCTCAGCCACATCCCTGGAGCAGGAACTCGGCTTGTGGGGTGGCCGATGGTGGGGTCACTCCCCACGTCCAGGCTTCTCTGCCCTTCAGGGGGGCTCTGGCCCTGAGCACAGGGAGCGGGTCTGAGGTCCCCTGAGGATGTGGGTGGTGCATCTCCTGGCAGGTGCAGGAGCCCCTCAATTCAGCCTTGCTCGGTAGGCTCTTGTGGCCTTGCTGCAGTGATGGTGGTCCCCATCCCTGAGGGCAGCCTTTGGTGACCGGCCTGCCCCACCACAGGGCAGGCGGTGTCCCTGCCGCCCAGGGAGGTGGCTGTGAGGACTCCGTGGGGGTGGGACAGGTGCCCACACCCTGGGGCCAATGGAGACCCCACCTGGGTCCTCCTGGCTCTGCTGGCGTTACCCCACCTGTTAAACGGGTGTCGTTCGAACACACCTCAGCGAGGACTGGAGAGGGGACCCATGCCCAGGCTCACGTGGCTCCAGCCCTGTGTGACTCACCCCTCCTCTCCTTCCAGGCTCTGCTGTCCTTCTGGCAGGTTAGTGACCACCGTCCCCGGGACCCGCCGGTCCCCTCTTGCCCGCCCCGCCCTGTGCCTGTCCCCGCGAGCCCCTCCCTCGGTGATTCTCCCTCCCCACTAGGGCCGTCGGGCCTCCCCACGGCCGGCAGCTCCGTGGTGTCTGAGTCGGTCGTAAGCTGGGCGTCCGGTGCCCGGGCCGTACTGCGCTGCCAGAGCCAGCGCATGGTGTGGACCCAAGACCGGCTGCACGACCGCCAGCGCGTGGTCCACTGGGACCTCAGCGGCGGCCCGGCCGGCGGCCCAGCGCGCCGACTCGTGGACATGTACTCCGCGGGCGAACAGCGCGTGTACGAGCAGCGCGACCGAGGCCGCCTCCTGCTGCCGCCCTCCGCCTTCCAGGACGGCAACTTCTCGCTGCTCATCCGCGGTAAGGGGCACGGGCACCGCAGCGGGGCCGGTGGGCTCGGGGTGGGGCGGGGCGCGGGAAGGGCCGCCCAGCTCACGGCTGGGCTCGCTCTCGGGGCGCAGCGGTGGAGCAGCCGGACGAGGGGCTGTACACCTGTAACCTGCACCACCACTACTGCCACCTCTACGAGAGCCTGGCCATCCGCCTGGAGGTCACCGACGACCGTGAGTGTGCCGTCCCCGCCCCCCGGCGCCCCCCCGTGGCTCCCTGCCGGCGGCCGGCGCTGACGCTCCTGCCCCCCCTAGGACTGGCCGCCGGCGCGCACTGGGACGGCGCGAAGGAGGTGCTGGTGGCGGAGCGCGGGGCGCCTGCGCTGCTGACGTGCGTGAACCGCGCGCCCGTGTGGACCGATCGGCACGTGGAGGAGGCGCAGCAGGTGGTGCACTGGGACCGGCAGCCGCCCGGGGTGCCGCACGACCGCGCCGACCGCCTGCTAGACCTGTACGCGTCCGGCGAGCGCCGGGCCTACGGGCCGCCCTTCCTGCGCGACCGCATGGCGGTGGGGGCGGACGCCTTCGCGCGCGGCGACTTCTCGCTGCGCATCGACCCGCTGGAGCCGGCGGACGAGGGCACCTACTCCTGCCACCTGCACCACCACTACTGCGGCCTGCACGAGCGCCGCATCTTCCACCTGCGGGTCACCGAGCCCGCCGCCCAGCCGCCCCCGCGGGACTCGCCAGGCAACGGCTCCAGCCACAGCGGAGCCCCTGGACCAGGTGCGGGAGCAGCCCCGGCCCCTCCCCGTCCACTCCCGTCCTTCGTAAAGGCTGTGGTGATCGCCCGGGGGGGGGACCCCAATCGCCGCGTCCCGGTTCTGCCGGTACCCTCGCGGCGCCGCGGGGCTGGCCGGGCTGGGGCGCGGGCGCGGCGGGCGGGGCGCGCTCCCTGACGCCTCCGCCGGCCCCTGCAGACCCCACGCTGGCGCGCGGCCGCAGCATCATAAACGTCATCGTCCCGGAGGGCCGGGCGCACTTCTTCCAGCAGCTGGGCTACGTGTTGGCCACGCTGCTGCTCTTCATCCTGCTGCTTATCACGGTGGTCCTGGCCACGCGGCAGCGCCGCCGCGGAGGTGAGACGGGGCTGGGGGCGCTGGGCCTGAGCCTATCGCCCAGTGAGCCTCGCTGCCGGGGGTGGGAGGGCATCGGGGCTGGGGGCGCTGTGGATGGGGAGACTGACCCCCAACACAAGTGTCCCCTCCCCAGGCTATGAATATTCAGACAAGAAGTCTGGGAAAGCAAAGGGGTGAGTGCCTCCTCCCGGCTCCCCTGGGACCAAGCCCCTCTCCCGCCCCTGCTCTAACCTGCCTTCCCTGTCCGTCTACCCAGGAAGGACATGAACATGGCAGAGTTTGCCGTGGCCACAGGGGACCAGGCTCTTTGCAGGAACGAGGGCATCCAACTAGGTGAGGGGCACCAAGGCACAGACTGTGGTCCCCAGGCCTGGGCTGCAGGTACCTCTCTGGGGACGCCCTCACCCTGCTCTCCCCCCACGCCAGATCACAAGAACAACATCCTGAAGGAGAGGGCTGGGCTGGCCCACAACCCCCTGCCTGCCAAGAACATTGACTTGGACAAAGGTGACTGGCTGGGCTGCTTGGACCCACACCCCACTCCACCCACACTCAGAACCCTGAAGACGCTGGTCAGCACCCTGCCTTGGGCAGGGTCCTCATGGGCAGGGGTCCCTCGGGCAGGAGCCCCCCAGGCAGTGCCGCAGGATGTCTGCCCTCTTTTGCCCGGGACGAGGGGTGGAGGGCAGACACCACCTGTCCTTCGGTTGCAGAGTTCAGGAAGGAGCATTGCAGATGAGGCGGCCCTGGGCTCCTGGCTGGACCAGCAGCCCTGCCCACTCCCATCCGTCCTAGAGGGTGCTCTCCTGACACCTGTGCGGCCCACCTTGTCCCCGTTAACCGCGGCTGGAACCACTGTCCTGGAAGTTGGCCTGGACTGGTGCAGAGCAAGGCTGCCTGCAGACTCCTCTCCCTGGAGCCCCCCTAATCCTCACAAGTAACAGTGGGCTGGCTCCTCATGCCTCTGCCTCCATTGCTGCCCCCTTCAGCAGCTGCCTGCTGGCACCCACACTCATCAGGGGACCTCCCTGGGGCACAGCCAAGCCCCTACTGATGTTCACCCTGCCCTCAGGGCCAGCCCTCCCACCCCATCTTCACCCTTCCTCAGGGAGCTCTCTGCTGGTGCCCCTGGACTGCTCCATGCTACCCAGCCAGGGTGCCATAGGAACTTTGAGGACCACATGCTCCAGCCTGGGCCAGTGCCCCACTGTTCCTGGGCTGCCCTGGGCCCCTCCTCTGCTCTTCACCCGGCACCAGCCTTGCTTCCAACAAGTTGCCTTGGCAGACGCTGATCCCCACCCTCAGCCCTCCCTGGACTGGAGTCTGAGGTTGGGGCCTTTGGCTTCTGTTTTGGCTGAGAACAGGGGAGGGGTAAACTTGGTTGAGGGTGGCCTGGACTTGCCAGGCCCCACACACATTTGCTCCTCCTGGGAAATGGTCTCCGTCACAATAAAGGTCACATCAGACTTTAGGCTTTGTCCCAGGTTTGCTTCTGCAGCTTCTCTGTCTCTGGTGGGGGGCAGTCTGGCCGTGGGAACCCCCAAATGCTTTCCTTCATCTGTAGCCCCAGGATCGTGGTCGTGCCCTCGAGTGGAAGGTCTGGGCCTGTGTGTCCAGGGGAGAGAGCAACATGGGGGCCAATTCTGCCCCCACTCCTTGTTGTGAAGGGGTTTCAGGCCCTGAGGGATTTTCTGACTGTGGGGAGGGAAGCATGTGGGGGCGCGGGCTGTGTTAGTTCAAGCCTTCTGGGGGCAGACTCCAGGCTGGGATTCACTACGTGAGGATGAGGTGGGGCATGAGCAGGGAGGGACTCATTCAGGTGCAGGGGCTGGTGACGTAAGGGAGGGCGGGGGCTGCAGGTCTTTCCAACTCTCACCCCGCCCTCCAAAGCTCTCCCAGAACAATCGGCAGGAAAGGAGGGCTGTCACCCTGTGCTGGGAACAGGAGCTGGTGTGTAAACAGCACGCAGGTTATGACCGGCTGAAGGAGGCGGCACGGCCCCCCTGCCCCAGGTTGGCAGGTGGCTTTCACTCTGGGAAGGGGAAACTCTGAGGCCAGCTTTAATGACACTGCAACTTCAATACACTCACGGGAAATAAGTCGTTAATATTTATTCCCTAGAGATTCCAGAACAGGGGCGCAAGGAGTCAGGAAAGGGCAGCCCTCTGTCCCAGGTCACCAGCAAGGAGACAGAGTAGGGGAGCAAGGCCTGGGATTTAACAAGGTCACTAGCTTTCTGTGGGCTCAACTCTGAGGGTTCATTTTAAAAGGTGCGCCAGGGAAAGCGAGGCAGGACCGTGGGGTAGGCATCCTAAGCAGGAGTCTTTATCTAACCGTCCAGCCTCCAGGTGTGAGCAGGTCCACACCCCTGAGGACCCCACAGTGGCCACGGGCCATTTGATTCTGGCCTGAAAACTGCGGGCGCCCAGCGAGCTCCCACCGGACTCCCTTTCTCCCTCCCTGGGCACACGGCACAGCGCCACGGCAGCCTCTTTCTCTAAGGCCGCCCCTCGTGGCTCCCTCGGGTTACTTCTGGGGAGACCAGACCCAAGGGGGAGGCTCAGGCTTTGCTGGTGGGTGCCGACCTCACAGAGCCCTGTCTGGCCTCCCCGTCAGCACCTAGGGGAGAGGAGCTCAGGACTCTTGGGCCGGTCTGACGTGGGGGCGGGCCCCAGCCTGGGCTTGGGGACTTACCTCCAAACCGGCTCCTCATCAGTGGTGGACTGACGGGTATTTTTCCTGTGGTGCTGGCCCACTGCCCAAGGATGGTCACGACCAAGCAGATGGGGAGCCCCGGGCTCCACCAGCCTCAGGGAGAGGCCGCAAGGGTGCATCACGCTCGCACGGGACTCCCTCTAATAGCTTCAAGTCTTCCTCCTAGGGTTGGGGTACGGAGGGCCTCTCTGTCCAGGGGGTGCAGCATGTGGCCGGCCGCTTGCCAGCCCCAAGGCGCTGCCCCGGGTCTTCGTTGCCCCCCGCAGGACCCCAGGATGGTTTGATGGAGAGCGTACAGGAAGCGACCGTGCCCGGGCATCTCTGCGCACAAATGCTGACCGCCTGAGAACACCATACGTGCTCGCACTTGGGTCCCCGCGTCCACGCGTGCCCCCGCATTCGCTTGGCCCGCGTTTCTCGGAGCGCCAGCGGGGCCCGCCAGAGCGCACGCGAGCTGGGAGCCGGCGCGGGGCTCAGTGACCAGGGTTCGCGGCTCCGGCTCGGACAGGGGCATCCCCAGGCTTTCGCGGCAACCCCGCAGCCGCCAAGGCGAGAGGCGCACTGGGATCTGAGCGCCCAGCCATGCGGACGCCCCGCGAGGGGGGTCACAGCACCGGAACCCCAGCCCGGCCCCTCCCGCTGCCGGCGCCTCGCGCGTGCGCAGCCCCGCCCCGGGCCCGGACGTCGGGCCCGGGCCGCTCTCCGGCGCCCCCCGGCGGGCGTGCGCAGCCCCTGCGCGCGGTCCCCTCCCAGCGCGGCCCGAGGGGGCGGCGGTGCGGGCGGGGCTCGGAAGCGGAGGCCTCGCGCGCTCCCTGCCTGCGCCCCCGCCGGGGCGGATGGGCGGCCTCGGGCCGCGGGGCAGCAACCAGGGAGCGAGGGGGGCCAGGGCGGGCGGGGCCGGAGCGGCCGGGCGGGCGCCGGGGGCCTGGTCGCGACCGGGCCGGGAGCGGCGGGCGGGGTGCAGGCCGGCGGCGGGGAGGCGCCCGAGTCCGAGCCCCGGGCCAGGCCGGGCGCGCCATGGCGGAGACCAAGATCATCTATCACATGGACGAGGAGGAGACGCCGTACCTGGTCAAGCTGCCCGTGGCGCCCGAGCGCGTCACGCTGGCCGACTTCAAGAACGTGCTCAGCAACCGGCCCGTGCACGCCTACAAATTCTTCTTCAAGTCCATGGACCAGGACTTCGGGTCAGTGGGCCGTGGGCCTGCTTGCGGGCGCCGTGTGGGCACCTCTGCGCCTGCGTCCTGGGGTATGACCGGGGCTGCCCCTCCGCACCCGGTGTGGCGTGTCCCACCTGTCTGTCCGGCGCTTTGGACGTGAGCGGCCCTGACTGCTTGGCCAGGAGCCTCAGAACTCTGGACGGTGGGCAGGCGAGAGTGCTAGCTCTCCTCCCATCTTGGTCCGGGTCCTGTGTACCTGAGTGCTGAGTGCGTGTGATCTGCGGTTAAGGTCCACGGCCCCAGGGACTCGGAGGTCTCACCTTGGCACCTGTTAGACTCAGGGTCCCACTAACCCCCTTGGATGGCAGGTGCCTAGGCCTGGCCTGTAGGGCTGTGATTCATGGGGCCTAGGGTCAGAGGAGTGTTGCTGGGGAAGGGATGGGTGGGGTCAGAGGCCCAGTCACTCACGGTGTCCCCTAGTTAGCATGAGGGGAAATGATCTGGGACAGGGGCATAGATCTGTCTGCTGAGGTCTGCAAACATCTCCAGAGGTTCAGGACAGCCTCCCCCAAGCCCCCTTCTCCAGGATCCTGACAATGAGGCAGAGGTCAGGGTCACTGGGGGCTGTGGGACTTCCCTCCACCCATCCCTGCCCTGGGGTTGTTGGCCTCTGCCCCTGCTGAGCCACACAACACTTGGGTTCCTGGGAGTAGCCTTGGCCCCATCTGGGGACTTGGGGCAGCCTCTGGGTCAGTGTCCTCGAGTCAGGCTTTTGTGGCTCTCTGGCAGAGGTGACTTCCCCCTTTCATTGGGCTGGGCCTCAGGACAGTTGAGGAGGAGGCTGGCTGGCCACTTGAGGCCTGACCCAGCAGAGCCACGGTAACCTAAGTCCCTGGCTCAGCAGTCCTGGGAGGGTACCCAGAGGCCTCCTGAGCCAAGCAGGTGTGCCTGGCCGCCCTCAGACAGAGCATGTCCTTGTGTGTGTTTGTGACATTGAGGCCATTTCCTGGAATTTGTGATTTGCAAGGGCTCTGGATGGCCCCAGGTCAGGCCAGGCTGGGGCCACTCTGTGTGCCTTTTATGGGGTCCTGGGGGATGTTTGGCTAACTCACCTCTCTCGGGCCCCCACCTCCAGGGAGTGCCAGAGGGGAGAGTGTGTCCTTGGCAGCCGTGGAGGGCTGGATGCCCCTGGCCCTGCCTGGCCAGTCTTCCTGCGCCCGGCTCTGCAAGGTGGGGCATTGTTTTAGGGAGTCTGGTCCAGGTCATCTTCCTGCCCTCACTGGGCAGTCTCACAGCCTTTACTCCTCTGGGTCTGGGCTGCTTGGGCCCAGAGCATTGGGTGTGTGAAATGGTGCTTTTGTTTTTAGCTTAGTTAATTACTTTAACGAAAATTACCAGTCACACACGATCTCTGTCACAAAGTCAAGCCAGCAGGGAGTGTGGTGAGGCGTGTGCCCAGCCTCTTGTGCTCTGGGAGTGTCCTGAGGGGTTTTCCCCCGGCTCCTTTGTCTGACAGTCACTGTGGGTCACCCACAAGCTGCAGACACCTCCTGGCTGCAGCCCTATGTGCACTCCCAGCAGAGGCCAGGCCTGCTGGGGAATTTGTAGGACCAGTGGGTGTCCTGGCTCAGGAGGTAGGTGGGCAGGCAAATCTGGGTCTTGAAGCAGGAGTAGTTCTTCAGATTGTCTGGGCAGGCCTGGGAATGGCTGGGATGTGGGGCCGGTGCAGAGGTCAAGGCCCAGCAGGAAAGGAGGATGGATCAGGGTGAAGCTGGCAGGTGCAGGAGGCAGACAGCACAGGGGGGCTCACCTTATTTCTTCCTAGGGCCTCTGACCCGTGACCTGGTATCCTCAGATCTGGCAGAGGACCCCCATCAGCTGCCTCCTTTCTCCCTTCCCCTGAGACCTCCCTGCAGAGCTCCAAGCTCTATTTATTCTATATAATAATTTATTCATTGGAATACATTCTCTGAGAGGGGCTCATCAGTCACTCACTTCAGTATGGGTGGGAGCTGGAGGCTACCCATTGGATGTAGGTGGGAGTTGCTGGGAGGGTGAGGCCTGGCTGGGCTGGGACAGCAGTCCCCCCATGAGTTTGGAGACTGAGGGGCACCCTGGTGAGCCTGGACACCCTGCCCCAAACCCCCATCCCACTGAGAGGTGGGTCCTGAGTTCCCCAAGCCACGGCCAGCCATCTAAGAAGAGAAGGGGGGGTCTGAGGTATGGCAGTGGCTATGGCTACATACTCTGGACAGGGCTGAGTGGGCATTGTGCCCACCTCCCACTTGTCCCATGCAGGTCATAGCTGTTCCGACCCAACAAAGCTCGGGAGGGTCTCGGGGCCCACAGTGGGTTGGCCCAAAGGGGCCTCACTGGTTCTGGCAAGTGGCGTTACAGGGGAGGGGAACAGGCCCGGCTGTTGGTCTGTGAGGCAGAGGGTACTCGGTTCACAGTCCCCGCCTTGATGCCAGGCCTGGCTGGACTTGGTGCTTGGCGCCTGTGTCTGGCCGTGGCTCTGGCCCCTCCCCCATCTCTGGGGCCGCCTTCCTGTGGGCCCTGGGCTGTGCATCTGGGGCTGGGGGCAGATGGCCTGGGTGAGTGCCCACTCTGCCCTCTGCAGCTGGGGTCTGTACCCCTGGTGGTGTTGGGATGGTCCAGGTAGGGCCCTCCTGGAGCCTGTAGCAGGGTGAGGACTGGGGCTTCCTTGCCCTGGAGCCTGCAGAGCTGAGCCTGGGGCTTTGGGGTCAGGAGGCTGTGAAGGGGCAGGGGACACTCAGTGGGAGCTGGGGACCCCTGATCGGCTGTGTGTGTGTGCGCGTATGCGTGCAGGGGCTCCATGACAGCCCTTCTCCTGTCCTGCCAGCTTTTTCTGCCAACTTCCTGCCCTGAGGTGGGAGGCTGGCTGGGGGACCCTGTGCCTCTGGGAACGCAGGCGGGATGGCCCCGCTGGGAGGGGCTGGCTTGCTCCAAGCTGTGGCCCCAGGCCCCCCGAGCGCTGTGCTGGGTTCCACAGCCCAGCTCTGAGCAGATGCCTGGCGAGGGCGAGTCTGCGGGGGCGGTGGGCAGCAGGCGGGGCTGGGAGGCCACAAGTTAGTTTGAGGTTAACCAGGATCTTGCCAGGAGTTCTGAGGTTGGGGGCACAGTGCCAGTGGGGGTGCCCCTGGGTGGCTGCCCTCGAGGGTTGGTGCAGACTGATCCGAGGTCTGTGCTCCCATCAGTGGGACCAGCCCAGGAGGGAGCCCCAGATTTTTCGGGGGCATTATCCCTGTGCTCAGCTGAGGCCTCCCCTGACCTCAACATTGTCCCTCCCAGGAGACTGTGCTGGTCAACGGCGGGCCCTCTGTCCCAGGGGCTCTGGCACCTGCCCCACCCTCCTGTCCTGGTCTAGCTGGCTGGGGCCTTTGCCCCAACCCCAGACAGAAGTTAGGGGGCTCCACTGGGCAGGTTGGAGGGTTTGTCCTCAGGCTGGGGCATCCATGTAGGGGTAGGGGGCACAGAGGGCTCAGGCAGCCCCGCTACCCTCAGGGGAAGGGTCGTCTCAAGGCCCCGGCCAGGGGGCAGTGGGGGCTCCAGGGCTCCCTTCCTGGAGTGTCCATCTCTGGGGGAGCTAGACAGGCACTGTGTGTGGGAGCTGGGGTGCTCCTCTGCCTCCCTGGGAGTGAGTCAGAAGGGAGTGTCAGAGCAGGCCTCCAGCGGGGCCACCTGGGCTCTGAGGCGGAACCTGGGGTCTCTTGCTGCAGACCGTGCTCTCGGCCCCCTGGGCCTCAGGAGGGCTCACTGCAGCCCGTCGGTCAACTGCAGCTGGTGTCCCCAGACCACCCCAGGTCTTCCTGTGGTGACAGCCTCTTCCGTGGCCTCCTCAGCCAAGTCCTGGGCTGGGTCATGGCCTGGCTTCCCCTGGAAGCTCAGCTCTGCAGGGCTGAGGTGCATGTGTGGGGGCAGTGGACATAGGGTCTGCGCCTTGATGGGGACAGCGGGTCCTGGAAATGACCCTTACTGTCCACTGGGATGTCTGCCACATCCATGTGTGTGTGGTGGCCCGGGGAGGTATCTGGGGGGGCTACCACAGGACCCCACTGGGGTGCCCCCTCTCTCCCAGGCTGGTCCTGTCTCCTGTATCCACTCTGCCCCAACTTCTGGGGCCCTCTTGGTGGGGGGGGTGGACCCAGGCCTTGCTCCCCAGGTGGGTGTGTGGGGTGCCAGCTCTGCATGGACTTCCTGCCGCCTGCTGCTTCTCAGGATTAGCTGAGTCCAGGCATCTGGGCCCACGGGCCACAGGACTGCTCTCCAGGCTCCTGTTTTTCCACTGGGCCCAGTTCTGGGCGTGGAAATCCCGCTGTGCTGGGCAGGGCTGGGCTGCAGGGAGGCGGGGCGTTGGGGGTGGCTCCCTGAGCGTCAAGGAGGCCGCAGCGTGGGTGTGCCTGGGCCAAAGCGGCTGCTGCCCTGCCCCACAGCCCTCCCCGCC